CCACTTCATGATATTATGAAACTGTATTGGTTTGCTTGGCAGGTGGATTCAAGACTCCATAACTTTAAAGATGCTGTCTCTTCCAACAAAACTTTCTTGGATGAACATGTCTCGGCTGTAAATAAGCTGGCTAAGGACGCAAAAAGAAAGTGGGAGACATTTTCCATGGAAGCTGAGAATGAGGCCGAAGAAGGTGCTGATTTCTCAGCTGCAAAACATTGTCGAATGGAGTTGCTGCTTCAGCAATCGTAAGTTTTTTGCCAGACTTTTAGCAATTCGTTTCGATTTACAATCATCCAGTTATGCATTTTAACCTCTCTTTATCTTCTATTCGTTAGTATGAGTCATGCGGAATCAGCTGTCAAACACTGCAAGACAACTCATGAATCTCTAAAGGAGATGAACAGTAAGCAAGTGGCAGATATCTCATCACTTGTTAGGTAACTGGTTTCAGTGTTGCAGATACATCCAATTTTATGGTTCTCATGTTATGCTACAACACATAAACTTCATTGTAATTGCTTTGGTTTAGGACTGCTTGTGATAATAACGAGCTGCACGATGCGGAAGTAGATTCTGCAAAGACTGCAGCTGAGAAAGATGTAACCAAGACTAGTAATGAGATAATCCAGCAAATTGATCGTGAGTTCTCTTTGTTACACATGATTGTTCCTCTGGTTAAAGACATCTCTTTGGTCTGATCATTCTTATAACAATCACAAATGGATATCCTTGTAATCTTTCAGGCATGTCAGAAGACGAAAAAGCGTCAGTATCACAAATCTTGGAAAATGTCAAGACACATGAAAAAACTCTTGCAAGTTTCCAGCAGGATCATTGTTGCCAATCCAGATGCATTGAGGATAAAGCTCAAGAAACTTTTCAACAACGATACATGGTAAGTTGTTATTCGCCGTAAAATAATAGCATTACTCTCTTTATGCCCAGAAGAATCTTATCCCCCCAAGCTCTCATTTTGTGAACCGCAGGAGTATGAGCCCACAGGGACAACTCCAGCAAAGAGTGAACCAGAAGTCCCAACCAAAGCCGCCATTGAATCACTACGAGCCACGCCAATAGAGACACTGCTTGAAGAGTTCCGTGAGAACAACTCTTATGAATCCTTTGCGACGAAGGAATCAAAACCGCAACAGCTAACACGGTCGCCTCTCTCACAAGTCAATTAGGGAACCACCTCTGTTCCGTTATGCTCATTTGTTTTCGTAAACGTCAAATCAGTGTGTCTGTGTCTGTATAACTATTATCTGTGTACACATTTGTGAAAGTGGGATCAATCAATGAAGAGTCAGATGCTTCTGACACATTTCCTGTGTTTCTAGGTCATGTAAACAGTCCCTTACTTGGGATTCAACAGTCACTACTGTCATGTGTGATTTCTTATTTTAGTAGTTTGAATTTCTTACAGCAATCTAAGATCTCGGAGAGGGTTTGTTCTTTTGACCAAAAAAAAAAAACAGAGACGGTTTGTTCTAAAACATAAAAAAAGTGCGAATCTTGGACCCTTTTAGCTCATGTTGTTTGTGATGTGAATGCATATTCCACTTGATCACTTCCTATATTAGCCTCAAGGCCCTCAACCATGAAAATGCTTTCAAAACCCAACGATGAACATTGTGGAAAACCAAGTAGCATATGTGAAATCAGAGTCATTGTGCCACTTGATATCTTCTTTGGCCTCAACTGCAAAAGAATCAGGAACAATAAGTTAATAATAATCCATCTCACACAAACTTTGAAAAAAACTGCAAAGCAAACAATCCAAGAGACTTAAAACTAAACCAACCTGGTTGTTGTGACCACACTTCTTCTTCCCGCAATTCACAGCCCTTGGGTGCAGACGAGCGTAACACCTAAATCAACAACAAGTTACTCAACATGAGACACAATCTCACACAAGACTTTGGTCAAAACATAACTATCACAAAACGATTTGTCTTCATGCTATCAAAATACAAAAGCAACAATTGATACAAAGTAATCAAGATCAATTCATATTGCAAACTACAAAAAATTCTTCGAAGCTAAATGGTAACACAAACAAAAAATTCTTCAACATTCCTCACAATTTCACAAATTTACATACACCAGTCCCAGTATAATTATTTCTTTTGGTCTTA